GCATTTCATTATACGTGAAATTATCAAAGTACATGCATTTATTTTTGCTTTTATTATCATTTTTTTCATATTGCTTTAAACTTTTCAACAGAATGTCTGATAAAAAGTAAAATGTTCGTATTCTTTTTAATGGCAGAAGATTGCAATTCTTAAACATGGTACATATGACTTCTTTTACAAAGCCAGTCATATTATTTTTTTTTGTCTTCATTTTATTTAAGCATAACACACCTAGCCATGCCTACAAATTGAATACTGTAAATTCCTTATTTCACGCGAGTACTTAATATCGCGAAATGACCCAAGGGCGTCTAATCGCGGGAACGATAATTCGCGAATCGGTGATTTATCTAGAAATTTTACAAACATTAAAGCACCATAAAAATAAATGCGAGTAATTTAATTTCGCGAGTGGTGCTTCTCGCGTAATAACGCGATAATTTATTCCCCGCGTATATTTAGGAATCTACAGTACCGCGCTTTAGCGTGGTATGATATTTTGTCGGCACGGCCAGGTGTGTTATAGGACCGACGACATCCAGAAATAAGAATTCAATACTTATATTTACATTCTCTTATTTTCTCTCTTCATAATTGTTTATTTCATTAATCATTATTATCAAATTTTATCGCCAATCAGAACTGGTGTGCTTAATAAACGTAAGAGCCGTTTTTGACGTTGGAAAGGTAAATAACGCAAATGAACATTGCAAGGAAAAAATGACAAATTAATTTTAAACACACAGTTGTATTTTACGTTAATTTAACAGGATAGCTGTTTTTTTTAAATATACATTTAGGTGTTCCTAGAGTATTGAAAATGCATATAGTTCCTACTGTGTATTCTACCGCGCGGTGACAAGGATTCGCTTGTGTTATAGAGATTTGATCGCCGTAGATTTCTAATTGATTTCATAAAGAAAATTACACTGAATGTAAACAATTTACTTGTAAATAATTTATGTTCAATATATGATTTTATAATTCAGCGTGTTCTGTGTAAATTTTTTAAACCTTTGGTTATATAATCTTACAGAATTCTTGACCCATTATACACGAGGATTCTTAGGAGTGCCAATTGTTTTCATTCATTTTTTCATGTAATTAGAAATCCTTGGTTGTGTATTTTTAAAACTGTGATAAAATTCTTTACTAAACGATACTAGTTATAGAAAAAAGCAATCAAAATTTTATTTATTAAAAGCCGAGATGTTGTGAATAGAAATTATATTTATATACTGCTTTCATACAGATTCAATATTTGATTTTGCCATTGTTAAAAAGTTAAGGGTCTCATAAAAGTAAGATAGTGCAAGTTGTAATGTTGATCTTAAGTTGTTTTGTCCACTGTATTTCTGAGCTAAATTGGTCTCTGTTTCGTTATCTTCACCTTTTACGAATACATTATCAAGGCACCAATGCGGTTTCGTCATTAAGTATCAACAATCCCGAGACAAATCCAAGAGTTAGAAATACGTTCCCAAGCACGGATCTAGTTTCTGGAAAAAAAATGAACACAATATTTAAAAAAAAACCGATTGCATGGTTTCAAATAACCAATTAATCACTTAACCCTTTGATTCTAGAGTTTTACTTTTTACGAAAGCCGGATAGGCTCATTTTTGACAAGATAAAAAAATATTTAACTCGTTATAACGAGATAATTATCTCGTTATAACAAGTTAGTATCTCGTTATAATGAGTAAGTCTCTCGTTATAACGAGTTAGTTATCTCGTTATAACGAGAGAGTTATCTCGTTATAACGAGATATAGTTATCTCGTTATAACGAATTAGTATCTCGTTATAACGAATTAGTTATCGGGTTAGTTATCTTGCTATAACGACTTAATTATCTCGTAATAACGAGATACTAACTCGTTATAACGAGATAACTAACTTGTTATAACGAGAAAACTAACTCGTTATAACGAGATATTAACTCGTTAAAACGAGATAACTTACTCGTTAGGTTAGAACGACTTAATTATCTCGTTATAACAAGATACTAACTCGTTATAACGAGATAACTAACTCGTTATAACAAATTAAATAACTCGTTATAACGAGATACTTACTCGTTATAACGAGATAACTATCTCTTTATAACAAGATAATTAACTCGTTATAACGAGATACTAACTCGTTATAACGAGACAATTATCTCGGTTTAACGAGTTAAATACTTTTTTATCTTGTCAAAAATGAGCCTATCCGGCTTTCGTAACTTTTGATTGTTGTAATTGTCATTTTATTCTTTTTTGTCCTTCTAATTATTTGTACTTACATGTATTGTTCATATTTTATGTTATATCAATATGTGTGGATTTTTCTTACAACTATATTTAAAGAACTGCCTTTTGATCTGATGACTTTCTGAAGAAATAAAAAAATAAACTTAATAATAAAGGCCAATTTCTACTGAGGGCATATACATATATATATATTTGTCGGTTTTAGTTGCAACAAATATGTTGTAGATAGTAACTCTGTAAATTGTTAGAGTTAAGTGCCTCGGAGAAATGGATCAGGCTTAGTGATTAAATCTCGAACTGTATAAAGATGGTTTAACAGAATCTCCATTTGCAGGGAAAGGGACCCAGATTGATTAAAGTTACATATTAACTCTGCTTGATTAAAGGGGATTTTGAATATTTTTTCTATGGTCTGGGACCAAATAACTAAGGTCTTAACTCAACTCGCGTGTTTTTTAGCACACTGAAAATTCAGATGAATGGATCCGGAGAACCCTGGCCGACTTCTGAACTTTTATTAAAGCACCGTCCTTGGTTGTTATTATCTAATAGTCTACATATCTCTGGTTGATCCCACCTTTTTTAATTGTCTATATACCATATACACAGAAATTGATCTATGATGGGCATACAATGAAGGCCATTTTACTAGCCATTCATCATATTTTTACTTTTCTAGTGACAAGTACAATTTTATTAGTTTTTAACTGACTTCGGTGATTATTTGCCTTCAAACTTGCGATAGAATTATATTACCTATTGTACAGAAATATCTCTAAAATATGGACCAATGAACACATGTCAACCCTGTCCTAAGTGACTTATCTGTTCTAAGTCTGTCCATACCGGAAGCATCAGAACATATCAAGAATTCAAATCCTTCAGTTATTTAAAATTAGCTGCGATCAAATATTAGTATGTCAAGCAATCTAGAAAAGTAACAAAATATTTCCATCGCTAAGCAATTTGTGGAACTATTTAAACAGTTTATTGCATATATTAGATTCTTAATCTTTTCGGGACAGTCGTAATTCATTTTAAAGTCGAAATTAAAATATCAACCAATATCCTGTATACAAGTTTATTTCCTATAAAACAAACAAAAAAGTGAAATACTCATGTATATAAATTCTACACAGACAAGCTAATTTCTCCGACCTCGACTCTGGCTAACCATGAAATTTCTCTCTGTTTTGACTTGGATGGCTTTCTTGGTTTTTGCCTCAGCTAGATATATTGGACAAGGTAATTTCATTTATATTATAAGCAAGCTTAATTTTCTCCCAAAAATTGGAGAGAAGGAGTCTGATATCTGATATTAAGGAATTTCCACCCTCCTGTGATGTCATAGGTTTTAGCAAAATCTGTTATTAATTTAAATTTATACCCAACAGAAATATATCTTTTGGAAGAATGCTTTTCAATAGGTGTAATGACAAATATTGTTCAGAAAAGAATTCAAAAATTAATTTAATATTTTCTTTATTTAATCAATTATTTAATCTTTTAAAAAAGTGATGCTTTCTCATGTATCTTCATTCAGACATTTCATTTTCTTTATTGTACTTTTAATGTAAAATGGTTTTCCTGATATTCAAATTTCAAACATATTTATAAAGTAACAATTATTTTGGAATTCCTGCTATCAAAATTGTGTATTTGAAACAGTTTTTACATAATTTTAGTAATACTTTTGAATAAAAATGTTCGATTGTTTATGCTGACATGTACTTCTGTTAATTCTTGTCTGACATCTTAAAAAATATGGCAACCTATACATTTTTGGCGATTATTAATTAATTTAGACTATATTCAATGAAAATAAATGTACTTTTTCTACTTTGAACCCATAAAATTGTGAGGGTGGAAATACCTTAAGTACTTTACTAGCTGGTATAGTTAGTTAAATTATAATCTGACATCAAAAGACCCTGACTGCCCTTCTCAGGTCCTCTCAGTAAAAATAAACCCATATTAATTAGTTTGTTATATTTATTTTATGATGTTAATTTAAACTAGTAATAAAAACATTACTGAATATTTTTCAGTATTACGTGCTCCTACGAGTGTTTTCTTACAAATGCTTTGATGAATGAATATAAATCAAAACATTTTCTTTGTTTGTAAGGCTTATTATTTTAATTGTATGTTAGAAGAGCTGGGATTTAATTCTAAAAGGAGCAATCCAACTTATACCTATAGTTCCCTTTCTAAGGAGGAAATTCTTCAAAATCATTTATCAAATTTAAATATTTTTGATATTCCCTACAATCAAATTAAATTTGAATTACCATACTTATACTCTATATCTAACCTACATAAAAATTCTAACAGACAAGGATACAAAGCAGGTTCCAGTAAATGTTCTACCAAGCCTCTTTCTTTAGTCCTCATTAAAATCTTAACAACAGTGAAAAAGAAACTTCAGGAGTACTGTACAATAATATATTCGAGGAAATGTGTAAATCACATGTGGATACTTAAAAACCCCAAGGGACTTTTATAAAATTTGAAATCACAAAATTTTACCAGAATCAATAACATCAAAACGTACGACTTTTTCTACACTTTATACAACCATTCCCCATGATAAATTAAGTCCAGGCTTTTTGACATCATAGAGAAATTTTTTTCATTAAATATAGAACTCGTAAATTTACTTACCTTGTCATTGGTCATTTGCAAAATTATTTTGCTAAAAAACATTCTTATCGTACACAAAAGCACTCCGAAGTAGATAAAAACGATGCTTGAGTGTCTGATTGACAACTTAGGTGCAGTTTTTGGAGATCAAGTCTTCCACCAATCTGTCGGAATTCCCAAGGGTACCAATCGGGCCCCATTATCGGCAGACTTACTTTTGTATTCATATGAAACAGAATTTATTCAAACACTGTTATATGAGAAGAACAAAACACTTGCTGTGGCCTTCAACTCGATATTTAGATATATCGACGATGTATTATCAATTAACAATCGTTACTTCTATTCAAATGTCGATTCGATATATCCAATTTAAGTGAACCTGAAATAAAATATACCAAAAAATCTGACACATCCGTTCTATATTTTGGATATTTTACAAGAAAAATTCATTAATGGAAACCTAACAACAAAACTTTATGTATCAATGTACCCCGATCATCTGTATATGGAGTTTTTGTCTCCCGGTTGATTGATACGAAAGAGCATGCTCTACGTATGAAAATTTTTAAAACGAGACAGGCTATTGGCAAAAAAGTTGATGATACAATGATATCATCAGTCTTACTAGATATTCTCAACATTTCGAAAGTTCTATGGTCGATACAATGAACTTGTCAGCAAATACAATCTAACATTATGTCGAATGCTGTCTGACGTTTTTCATACTAATTGTTAGGCCATTATTATACACTAAATTTTCTAGTGATTTTCCGTTTGCCGGATCATGACAAAGAGCACACAATAGGTGTGACCTGTCGGCAGGGGATGCTTACTCCTCCATGGCACCTTATCCCACCTCTAATGCATTTAGAGGTCCCTGTTTGCTCTGCTTTGTGTTGTTTCAATGGACTTTTGAGCTTGATTACTGTTCGTTATCTCCATATTTCATCAAGAATATTAAAGTCTATGTAAAATAAATATCCACCGGTTACTAAATTTCTCTTTACTATATATTTGCAATTTTATTATTATTTTAAAAAAGGTAAATTATTTAATATAAACGTATCCAGTGACTAACTTTAACCCGCCATTTTAACCTTGAATATATCCTAATGATTTTAAATGAATCTTTTTTTACTATAGCAAAATATTAGAAAAGGATCTAAAGTGTATAGATAATTGAATGCTTCATTGACGTCAACAATATTCACGATGGATTAATTTTAGTGGAAAATTCCTCTATCGTGAAAATAGTGAAATTAAAAACACCGCAATGTATTCTACTTTCACAGTACACTACTAAATTGCAAATTCTCTAATTGAATATATCATAATTAAGTTATTTCTACGCCCGAATTACATGCAATATATATGTGAATATCAATTCTCAAGTCACAATGCTATTGTAATTGAAAATTGATTTTTTTTTTATTTACAAGGGAATATTTTCTTTACCAAGCCGAAAATATTCCCGCATTTTGGAAAGACAATCGACGGTGACCGACACCGTGGTCACAAAGTGTCCCCACGAGGACCCCCGTCATGGTCAAACAGTCATTCCCCCGTTCACAGACCCCACCAAGTCCACAGCAACTCATGGCAACAAGTCACAAGGACATCCAAGCATACTCATACAGTAACCTTTGCATCTAATACCGATGTTCAACCAACGAAGCGCCCAGCAACGACGCTGAGATCTCACGAGTCCACCTCGTTTTCGGAGTGGAGAAGGAGCTGGGAGAGGGAGCATGCTTCTGTCTGTGGGAAACAACATTTTGCTCCTTATGGTGCCCAGCTCAGGATTATGGGAGGCATGAGTGCTCGAAAAGGCAGCTGGCCCTGGATGGTAAATTTATCTAATATCCTTTTTCGTTTTATCCGGTGAATGTAGATTAAAAATGTATTTATTAACAGAAATTGAATAATGTATGAAAATAGATTAATGATCTCAATAATCACAACAATCATTTTTTTTTAATTATCTGTTGTATAACATTAGTTTGGATGACATAACGATATAGTTTTTAATATAAATTGTAAACTAGGTTTCTGTATATTTTATCCCATTTCGCCAATCCGTATGTGGTGGAGTTCTCATCGACAACGCGTGGTTTCTCACCGCTGCTCACTGTTTTGATCCGTGAGTCATTTCTATATCAATAAGACTATTAGCACTTTATATGACACGAATAAAAATTATTTAGTTTAATCATTATGATATAAAATTAACTATGTGTCATTAATAAATGACTTTGAATCTAATGATGAAATAATGCTATCATTCAACAACCACCATGATAACCATTATTGCGACGCAACACTCACAGATGATACAAATTATATTTTTTTTGATTTTTTGAATAGCAGTATCATTCATTTGTGATACAAAAGTTGTTTTAGCAACTACATATGTTATTTGTACACTAATGATAAAAATAACATGCTTTTATATCATTTAATGGATTCATTAGATTTAAAGTCATCCTTTAATGCTTATGTGGCGAATTCAAAATCAATTGTGGTAACACATACCACGCTCTGGTGAAAAGTTATTTTTCTTCTTCAAACAGACCTCTGAGTGCTGAAAAAGAGTTCATGATAATCCGATTAGGATTACATAATGTAACTTCGCCAATGAATAGAAACTCTGTTGAACAACAAAGAAAAGTACAACAAATATTCAAGTATCCTGGATACGGCACCAATTTTAGTTTTCCTTTTGATAATGATATAGCGTTAGTCAAGTTAAACTATCCAGTTGAAACCACGGATTACGTCAGTCCACTGTGTTTGCCAAATGAGGTAGAAAGAAATAAAACTCGATGCGTTGTGACTGGATGGGGTATAAAGAGAAGTAAGCCCATACATTTTATTCTAAAAATTTCAGAAATGCAGATCAATAAAAGGAAAGCAAATTTTAAATATATGACCAGTGGAGTTTTCCTCAACTACAATTTGCATTTTGTTGTATAAATTTAATTAAAGACGAATGACATAAAATATTTGTATTTATAAATATTTATAATTTTATAACGAATTCATGTTCTATCCAATCTGATTATTTAGAATAATTTTGTACTTTTGACATAGACATAAACGTATTTTTTCTTATATTTTTGGTTCAGCTCCGAATGCGTCCAATCCTAATGAACCCGATCCAATGGCCTGGCCAGATAATCTACAACAAGCCACAGTCCCTCTTATTGAATATGGAGAGTGTAAAGCAAAAGAAGGATACATAGGGAAACTGACACCCAACATGCTATGTGCTGGATACCGTGAAGGACATGTCGACACATGTAATGTAAGTAGCTGTATTTGTAGATGCTTAGAAAGTATACTTATCCTTAAATAAATAAATCATTATTATATAATATACTCGTGTTCCAAATGAAGTCAACAAATGCGGGGTTATATTGGTTGTTTTTGAGTTTATATGAATAGTATATTTTCGATAGTTACGTACATTTTGATACTGACCTAATGAGTAGCCTTGATTTTAAATTTCTTTGAAGGGAGACAGCGGAGGCCCGCTCCAGTGTATGAGAGAAGGTGTTTGGCATGTCACAGGTATTTACCAAGTATATCATGTATTTAAATCAAAAGATAGAAAGCCTCTGTGATGAGTTGAAATTTATGAATATTAGAAAGAAAACCCACAAAATCAATGCAATCAGTATTGAAACTAAAAATCATACAAAAATATTAGCAAATGCTTTTATATAAACATATATGTGTATATTACACAACATCTTCTCAACATACTGTATATTACATGCAAATCAAAGCATTCTTACTTTCACATTGAACTAAAAAAACTGAAAGCAAAGAAACAAATAACTTTGTAAAATAAATAACTTAAATTATAAAATTACAATCGATATATTTAAAAAAAAAAAAGGCAAAAGCCCTCATTACGTGATAAGTTAAACAGAACAAATTTATTGTATTTTTTTCATAAATCACCAATACAACCATCATCAAGCTAAAACATGTGTATTGCGTGACAGTGGGAAACTTTTGGTGAATGAAAGTTTTTTAATTCAAAACAGAAAAAAAATCTGTATCTTGGGAAAAAATCTTTATTCCTTAAAATAAATAATTCGTGTGTGAATGGTAGGAACCCCCCCCCCCCCCCCACACACACACACACAATTATAGGAAGTCTGTGTCACAAAAAATCGTTTTCGTGACCATGAACTTCACAATGATGGCACAAGTTACAGGGTCCAAGGAGCCAGGGGACACAGGAAGAGGGCGTCTCCACCAAAAATTGCCAGTGTATACTTATTAGACAATAAAGCTAATCTACGATTTTGCCTCCTAAAACTTAACGTCTTATTACCTCAAATTATGTTTTGAAAATTGCTTGTGGACATTTTCTGATCTGTTAGGTTATGCCCCCCCCCCCCCCCCAACTGAATTTGCTTTCTATAGTTAGCTAGGTCCTGAATATGTATAATAGTTTATTTGTGTAGTTAAGTTAGGAATGAGATTAATCAAGCAAAAGAAAATGCAGTATAATATATGTGATATGAAAAGAAAAATATCAGGTTTAATTTTCTGCAAAATAAAGTTGAGTTTACATTTATTAGGCATAACGAGCTGGGGAGGAAAGACTTACAGAGAGTGTGCGGAGGCAGATCAGCCAGGCGTGTATACCAAAGTCTTAAGTTACAGAGAATGGATACTTACAACAATGTACAATAATAATGGTACCTCTGGATGACAAAATAAAAGAATATACAATGAAAGATACAAAGATACAAAGAAGATGCAATAAAAGATGCAAAGTTACAGATTGTTTTGTCCATTTTTTTCAGCTTTCTTTTTTTCCTTAAGATAAAAATAAAAGCATATTTGTCCTGAGTTCACCACATTTAATAGCATTGCACTGAATTGCAAAATATTCTATACTGAAATATAAGTTTGCCTTTAAATTGAAATCTATTTTCGGTGCTTGTGATAGTGTGAAATCACTAATTTTCGGGCGGGGAAATTTTTTTATTGTTTAAATTTCGAGGTATGTTGACTCAACTCGATATATCTAAGTGAACTCAAAATCTAAGAGTCTGCCACATTTGTTTCATAGTTCGACATTTTACCGTCTATAGACTTTAAATGTCAACTAACTAAACTATAAAACAAATGGGATGACTTCAGATTTTCTATCGTCAACTTTTCCTATTTTTGTTCGAGTAATATTCCACTGTCAACTGCATCTGGTTTTTGTCTACCAACTGGTTTGGTCGCAAAATCATGTTCTGAGAACTTTAAACCAAGACGGGCATGATGTTACAAGGTTTAACAGTCAGCATTTCGCATGTGCTACGGTCGTTATAATGACTTTGCAAATACAACCTTGAGTCTTATTATGACTTACATGTTTCCCACTAATCGTAAGGTCACTGTTTACATGCCAATTTTATTATAGATTACTCCGTTTACCCTGATGTTTACAGAGTGCTCATTGCTTCGATTCTGAATATCTTGTTGTCTATGTTTTTATCATATATCTATTTTAAAAATAACTAATATGCATAATATTTAAATACAAACAAAATAGGGATTTTTTTTTATTATCAAAAGTTATATTAATTTGAGCTTATAGTCTTCATGCCTGGGGTTTTCAGGGGTATATGTTCAGGATTCCTATTCTTTCTGAGATGGATCACTAATCGTTTTTACACTAGTTTGAAACTATTACATTGTGTTGTATTTTGATCTCTCATAAAGTAGTCTGTCTTGATAGTGTAAGTAAACGATGAATACTTTTATTTAAAATGACCAACGCGTATCAAAGAATTTATAGGTTATTATTGTTTTGTTACATAATCATCGATTTTCATTTCTAAAAAAATCACATCAATTAACTCGGATAAGTGTACTGTTTTAACTAGGTGTCAATTTAGGATGCCATAAAATGTCAACCATTAACGTAGGGTTTATGAGAATCCCATAGTTTATGGTCAGTAACTTTATATATGTGCTTTTTGATTTCATCTATTTTCCAGAGAAATAAACATAATGTGCTAAAAAAAATAATAATTACAGCAATTATTGACTTGTTATGGTCAATGTTAGTATTAACCACTCTTAAAGAATACGACATTGTAGGGGCCCAATGAATTCTTAATTTAATCTGATACTGACCATATGGATCTACAAGTCAAAAAATGATGTTTGTCGGCAAAAAATAAACAGTAACATTTTTTTTTTTTGAAAAAGTTTTTAAAGCACATAAATTACACACTCTTAAGATACAATGTATTCTTTAGGACCATTCCTAACAGGGCATTCGTACTTAGCGTACCCTGTGCACTGAAATATTACTCTTAATTTGGTCGTGATAGACCTCTGATAAGAAATATAATTCAGTTCTAATGACACGATTTGTAGATAACAAATAATTGCTCAAATCAGACAAGATAACTGGACTAGTGCTGCATTATGCTATTTTTGGCGATTTTGGCCTTCGTAGCCTTCGGTATGTTTCTTTACTTACCAATCACTTTAGCAAAGATTTATCAAATGTAGACTTATTTTCCTCTTTTTAAAGGGAAGAAAGAACCATTTGGATCAATATTTAATATCAAAAGTTTACCTGTACGAAAATTCTTACAACAATGTAATGTCAACAACTTAACGTGAAAGAAAATGACAACTGAAACTTTGCTATATTTTAGAGGGAAAAAATCGTACCTTTACAGCGTATACGTTTACATGATGATTAATTACATGCGGAGAAATGTTAAATACATGTGTCATGCAAGAAATTAGTTTTGTTTGTTTGTTGTTTAACGTCCCTTTCGAGAATTTTTTACTCATATGGAGACGCCATTACTTGCCGGTGGAGGGCTGCAAATTTTGACCTATACTCGGCACTTATAATTAGGGCCACTGAGCAGTGAGGGATTTTTTTCGTGCCAGCACCTACTGTGACACGGGACCTCGGTTTATACGGTCTCATCCGAATGACCGGTCTCCACGTCCCACAGTGGGATTCGAACCCCCGACATAAGGATCAATTCCTTACACCGCGACTCTGGAGCAAACGCTCTAACCACTGCGATACGATTAGTTTTGATATGAAGAAAAGAAGCACTACGGTGAATATCTGTTTGATAAATAATCATTTTCAGATCCAGCTTTGGGATCGCTTCCTAACAACACAGGATGTGGGGTACCACACTACAAACCTAACTCACCCGTGAAAAGGGTTGTTGGAGGGGAGCAGGTGGCCCCAAACAGCTGGCCCTGGATGGTAAATTTAAAACTTAATGCTGCTTTATTTTCATGAATAAATAACAACAATTGAAACTAAGGTCCAACAACACCATCCTTTTTTATTTTCTTTACTATATACCCTGCAGGAATGGTCCTATCAAAATTGCAGACTGCGCTTGTTGCCTGATCTCTAACTTATTCGAAGTCTTTATGGCATTCAAATTTTGAATATTTTTTTGTGATACATTTACTTTCCACCAAGCCCATACTCCACCCCCACCCACCCCCATCAAAAAATTTGTAAATTTTGCAAAAAAATTCGTCAGCAAGTTTTAGACTATTTCTCTTACCAAATTTTTTTTTACTAAATTTACTGGTATGCTTGATGAGGACCTTACAAGTGAAAATGAGAATACTTGGTAGTATCCTCTCTACACATAGAGAATATTCCCTTAATGTAAAAATAAATCCGGATCTTTACTGACCAGAACGTATTATAAACATGTGATAAAAGTGGAGGAGGGGTTACTTTTTCCGGATTTCTATCAATTTTACAGGGTCTAAGGCGCTCTGTGACAATAACATGACATGTAATGAAGATAAAAAATTCTACTGAAACATAAGTTCTTTTTAAGATAATAGGAAGACGAGTTTGGAGAAATATCTTTGATCACTTAATTAGTATTTGTGGTCAGTAATTAGTATTAATTAATATTAAAATACAGTTGGTGTTTGTCCCTTGAACTCACAATGATTTCGGTGAAGCTCATTGAAAGAAAAGATTATCTCTAGTTCAAATGCATACTAGTATTAATACTGATATGGTTGTGGACTTATACTCCAAATTATTGCACTATTTGAATGATAAGGTTTTCTTATGGTATTTTCAGGCGTTGCTTAAGTTTGATGGTCATTTGACGTGTGGTGGAACAGTGGTCAGGAATGACAACAACACATTGGTCATCATCACCTCAGCGGCTTGTGTAGATGGGTATCTCCTCCTAATGTTGCTATATATTGAATGTCTCTCAAAATAGAAAAGTAAAATGGATTTCTCCCAACGTATTAAGTGTCTGCCGAGAAGCCATTTTCTATCTGTTCAATCATTAAATACTAAATATGTCTTTCTTTTATTTTAATTTTTTTTTAATAATGAGAGAAGAGTGATAAAATAAAGTAAAACCGTTTTACAAATTCAGAAACACAAAATCCGCTCTTAATAATGAGAATCCGTTTCTTATTATCAAAAATCTTGTATTTATATTTTTCATCAAATATTACATCGTAATTCAGAACATTGGCCGATGAAACAAGATGGCAAGTTCGACTGGGTGTGTTCAGTAGGGCCTCGGCAATCTTTGAGCCATACTATCAAGAGTTCAGAGTAAAGAAAATCGTACAGCACCCCGATTACCAACCGAGCACGTTCTCTAATGATATCGCACTCATGTTCGTCGACGGTGTCATCCAAGAGACGGAGGGAGTCAGTCCAGCTTGTGTAACGAGAGAAATGTACTCACCCGGAGAAAACTGTGTTACACTTGGCTGGGGAGTCACTAGTCAAGGTATCATACTTTCTAAATCGACTAAATTAAGAGATTCCTAGATACCAGTTGTTTAAGATGAGAGAACATTTATGTTAAAACAAAAACCAAAAACCAAAATAAATAAATAAATAAATGCATGAATAATAATACTACTACTAAAATATTAGGTATATATGAATCATATTCCATTATGAAAATTCATTTTGTTTGCTTTGAAAAAAAAATCTTGCCAATTTTTCTGTACTGAATGTAATTTGAATCATTAACTATATCACAAAAACAAAATAATTAATAATACTTGACAATTTAATTTTGCCAAACTATATCGACTTTTAAAGCAAAATTCTTCAAGTAAGCCTGCACATGTTTCAAATTTTGCAAAATGGGACATCGATGTTTTCATTTAAGTGTGCTTATTAATTATTAATTGACTTTTTCAGGTGGAGAAACAACAGATAGACTTCAGCAGGTATTCAAACCAATTCTTGGCGCTGATACCTGTCTCCAGCAACTTAGTAACCTGTTTAACAGAGTAACAATGCTCTGTGCCGGGAGAGACGAAGGAGGAGCAGGTGCTTGCACTGTAAGAAAAATCTTTATTCTCTTATCTCTCTTTCTCACCTCATTTGTCTCAACAAACTTCGCTTTTTCTGATCTCAAGAAAAAAAATAAGGTTTATTTATCCCATACACTGAATTACAAAAAGAGGCAGCACTTGGGCTTGCCTGTCACTCGGTATCTTGCATTTTGGTCACCTAAACGGTTTTCACAATTTGTAAAAAAAAAAAAAAAAAAAAAAAAAAAGAATTAGTCGCTGGATTAAAAATTTAATCGGAAGATTTTTTTTATCAACAGAGAGACACAGGCGGTCCCCTTCTTTGTAAAAGAAATGATGTATGGTACCTGACTGGTAAGATAATTCAGAATAACAACAGTATGAACATGTGATAAAGTTCATAATATCCATTAGGAATCATAACTGAGATCTTACTTACTTTTGAACTATTTTTGCTTTCAGGCATCGTCAGTTGGGGTTTTGGCTGCGGAACTGCAGGATTACCACCCGTGTATACTCACGTGTTCGAATATGTCACATCCGGGTGGCTTAAAACTGAAGGGGACATCTAAAGTATAATAAAAGCAATATAAAAAACTCTGATTTTTTTGTTCTTTTATTCCGTTTTTAGAAGACAGTCTATACAAAATGTTTACAATGTTTTATTATGCATTGAAATTGGAAGGAAAAGAGGGTTCAGAAAATGCAATGCTAAGAAAATTGTTCCTCATTGGATAAGTTGAAAAATAAGTCAGCTTTCTGAATTGTTTTTCTATTGTAAAATGAAAATTATTAAATGATGTTTTCCAAAGTAACAAGAATATTTTTTTATTGTAAACTTGAGATATGTATCACTTATACAAGTAAGTATAAAGTATTGCATATATATATATATATATATATGTATACTGCAGACATGTCGAATAACAGAAATAGGGTTCATGAAACACACCCTCACACACAGATATATAATTTATATATATATATATATATATATATATATATATATATATATATATATATATATATATATATATATATATATATATATATATATATATTCAAAAGAATTATTCTAGTATTGAAATAACAGGACTTTTGGGAGAATTGTTTTGGGTATTGTTTGCCCTTGTTATGTTTACCAGTATCTTCGTTTATCCAGTGTGGTATGTCAAAGAATTTTCAGTTCGATTTCCTTGGTAGATGACAAGATCGATAACCCAAAATCAATACAAATACATGTAAAGACTTTTCTGGCTAATTGATGAACAGCATTTTCACATTTCCACTTATGGATGTCAGGAAGCAAACATTCATGCCTTCTCCAAATATTTCCAACACTTAATTCTGTTGTGGAACGTGTTCCTTCAAAAGCATAAATACACAAAAGTGCACTTTGGTAACAGTATCAATTCGCATTTATTCAAAATATTTCTATCTTGTATCTATTTTGCACCAATCGATTCCAATTTTTTTTAAATTAATATTTTAAGATAAGTACTATAGAAATTATTAGCATAGTGCTTATTCTAACATGTTGGTGCCTTTTTAGATTCAACTATGTTTTGGTTGACCGAACCCTCAAATTAAGGTAAAGGTCTAAAAACTATTTAGGGATGTTAAATTTGTCTCTGGTTTAGTAAATTTTAAGAATGATTCTTCAAAGAACAGTAAGAATAAATAAATTTATAAATATTTTATACAATAAACTCTAATATAAGCCGGATACCTACATTCAATATGTATATCGTATTCATTAAAACTAGGGATGGCAATTTGCAACCGGTTAACCGATTACTCGGTCGGAACGATGGTAATCGGTTAGTCGGAAAAAAATAAAATATATGTAAATTTGAACGCAATTTTCTTACATTTCATTTAAAAAAGGAAACTTCTACATAAACATTGATAATTTAGCGTTTTCACATATGTATTTAAGCTGATTTGGAGGTAATTATTGTTCTCCCAATTGAGATCGCGGGGTAATTGGTCAGTTGTGAAGTGTTAATAACTGTACAAACAACATGTTGCCCCGACTGTCCTGTTATTCTTTAATGATGTTAAATAAATCACCGTTGAGCATTGTGAATTGTTATGTCTATCTTTTGCAGTTATCTTTCAAGTTATATTATGTTAAATAAATCACCGTTGAGCATTGTGAATTGTTATGTCTATCTTTTGCAGTTATCTTTCAAATTATATTATGAGACAAACATTGTAAATTAAGTAAAAGTTCAGACTTAGTTTTGATTATGGCGACAATACATAATGTGTAACATCTGCTCTAAAAAAAATTATCTATGTCTGATTTCTCAGGCATGTTTCATGGTTTTCATAATTTTTTTTTTACCTATTGAAATTGAAATAAAATATATGTACATGTAGTTTCCTGATCAAGATAAACAGATTGTTTCTAACATCTTACTATGAATAAAGAAATGAAAAGAAATGTCAAGAAAATGTGTATTTTGATACGATTAACCGGTTAATCGGTCGGAACGTCTTACGGTTAACCGATTAGCAATTCTGTAATCGATGGCCATCCCTAATTAAAATCAATACTTATTTGAAAAAAAAGTAACTGCATTGTCCTTTGGAAAACTTGTTAAATTCTGGAAAGACTATTCCGCAATTAATTGTTCTAGAATTACTTGTTTTAGAATTATTCTATTACTTGTCATAATACTTAAAAAATCTACTTTACTAACTGAATGAAAAGAAGATAAAAAGTTTTCACGAAGTATTTTTTGTGTTAACAAAGCCAGGACTATTTTTGATTTTTAAAATTCTGTTTTTACAATTCAGTTACAAGATCTTTATTATAGTTCTCCAACGTATCCCTGTTTCCTGTATTTTGTAAATGTTGCGTCAGTTTTTAAATGTACATCGTTTTGTCTCATATCCTGTTTCTTATATAACTTTTAGATAATTTTTAGTGTTTTCCTCCATTTCATTTTTTATGATTGCAAGGTCCCAGTTTAGCATTTACATCTTACTGACCTCTAATTAACTCCTTACATTCCTAATTTAGATACGCATACATTGCTGAAATTTGAAAAACATATTGCTCTAAAAAGATACCAAGAGAAAGACTTGTATAGGGGGTCAAGAAAAAAAAAAAAACAACGAAGAAAAATATGGCGGACAAAGATACAGCTCTTTTACGAGTCGTGTTCAGCTTTTAACGATCATTTCAGTTTGAAACAATTCATAACTTTGTCATGTTTTGAGAGAAAAAAATATAATACTAGTTGTTTGGGTGATAATTTTTCTTGTGATTTAACTAGTGATAGCATAGTAGTTTGAACATTACGTGAAAAGTTTTCTTTTATATACACATGTACAACTCTAAAAACTTTTGAAATACACGTTTGCCAAGAAATCAAAACACATATCCTAGTATATTTTCAAACAAATTCTCTCTCTCTCTCTCTCTCTCTCTCTCTCTCTCTCTCTCTCTCTGCTTTAATGGGTTATGATGATGTAATTTACGAGGGGTTATAAAAAGGTTCGTGGACTGATGCGATAAAATTAAAACTATGTAGTCAGTGCTCACGAAATTTATTAAGGTCATAAAACAACAAAAGCTAAAGAAGTGTTGAAAATTTTAGCTTGATACGTTATTAATTTGTCAAATTATCATTAAATGAAGAAGATATTATATGATAACCCGGCGCTGTTGTCGTTGAGTTTCATGACGTCCGACAACGTCATTGTTTCTCTCCGCTCCCTCTGCAGGCCCGTAGGAACGGGAGGGGGGGGGACTTCCCAAAATATCTGACAAGCGAAAAAAAACCTAAACTGACCAAAATTGGGGGGACCAACTTCCCAAAATAATCTGACAAGGAAAAAAATCTAATTTATTGTACAAATCAAAAGGTGGGGGGCAACCACCATCTAGAGGAAAATTTACTATAGCAAAATACTACACTCAGAAAAAAAAGTGTGGGGGCGGGCCCCCTGCCCCCCCCCCCCTGCGTTGTACGGGCATGCTCTTTCTCAATACACTCTTCTTGATGAGCTTCCCCGGAGTTAAGTAAAGACTGGAACCCGTCTTGTTTATATGACTTTAAAATGTCATGAACAGCTGATTTCAATGCAAATATTGCAAATGGATCTCTACGAAAGGAAAAGTTCCTCACATTAAGTGTGCATTCATCATCTCTCTGAATGTTTTTCGGCGTTTTAAAAACAGGTACTCTGAATGTATTTTTTTCTCTATAGCCTGAACTTTTTCTACGTCTATGTCAGTTTTTCCAGAGATGAAACTTTACATAATGTGGGGAAAAGCATGCTTTCTGACGTCATTTTTAACCCCTTAATTGTTTGGCCTTTTCATATGAAATTTATTATAAGATTTGATAGAGCTTTCAGAATGAGGTAAAAATTCAAAAATTTTACAGAACAATTGTTTCGTACTACATGAGTGCATTAACGTGATTTTGGATGAAATGTAGGAAATACGTCGTATATTGAGGTTGCGCCGTCTGATCATACCATTGCTTACAAAAACGTTAACAATTTATTTAAAAAATGAAATTATGATTTAAACATTATTCTATAAATAGAAAAGATGCTTACTAAATATGCAAAAAAATCATTGATGTACCATAAGCGGTTTTAATTTTATTGCGATAGTCCACGACTTTTTTGATAACCCCTCGTACTTGCCCAGGAGTTGATTGTTAAAAACACAAATGAGACAATGAGGATGAAAATGTAAGGTTACACCATGACTTTTTGTCTAAAACTTCATAAAAATCCTTACAAAGGATTTTAGATTTAGCAAATGTTCTTCCAAGTCTTTTTAGTTACTCCTCACGAAATTATAAACTGCAATGCAGGATGGACCTCAGCATATATATTTCAGAGGTGGTGTTAATCAAGTATGGATACTAAAAAAAAAAAGAAATTTTAGAAAATTTGAAATCGCAGAATTTTGCTAAAATTAATAATACCAAAACATATGACTTGTCAACACTTTATATAAATATTCCTGAAATATTAAAAACCAGGCTTTTTTGACATCATTATAAACTGACCACGGATTTATCCGTTACCCCAATCAAGACAAAGGCCTCAATTCCTGTGTGACCAGTCGACAGGGGATACTTTCTCATCCATGGCATCTGATCCCACTCTGAAGATTTTAGGGGTCTGTTATTACCCTTCTCTTTATCTGTGTTGATTATTTGGACTTTTGAGCATGATTACTGTTCATTATCGTCATATTTCACTACATGTGACGACATAAATGGTGTAACGACATGTCCTCGTCACGTGATGAGGAATTCTGAAATATTGAATTGTTGTTCCATATAACATCCATCGATTTCAAACCTAAGAGAATAATATTTACGTTTTATATACATGGAATATCTCTATGTACGTTTGTGTGTGTATGAATTAAATTTCTAGATATGTCTTGTTTCCGAGTAATAACTTTTAATCCCAATGATCGCTGAAAACAATGATGCATAAAAAGAACTTAGGTATTATAAATAGATCTGCACACGTCATTCAACACTGTTTAAAGTAAAGGACGACAAGGGCAAAGAAATATTCGGTAAAGATATGAAGGGCGAAAGTTCATTGGAACAGTTCTATATGAAAGATACTTTTGTTAACAATTCTCATACAATTCATTCATGTGTATGTACTGATGTCAAAATATATAAGAATCAACAAATTAGAAACGGTGTTTTCTTAAAAATGATTTCTAAAGGAGAGCAATGACATTTGAGAGTATGTTTATAACTTAAAATATAACTTGATCATAAACATGCTAAATGTACTGGTATTTATGATAAAGGTGACAGAATTCTACTATAAATTATACTAACACAATTGTAGGCCTTCTTCCAAAATATAGCATCCGTATGTTTGAAAGTCATTTAAGTTACGAAATTTACGACAATAGATGTGCACAAATCCAACCAACAATGATAAAGATATCTGTTTTTGATCATGACTATTGACTCGCACACAGACTTCTCTTGAAGAGTCTTTTGAGGGTACAAAAGTATTTTTTGAGCTCAGGTGTAGAGTCTACTGAGGATACAGTAGTCTTCGTTGAGCTCAGTTGTAGAGTGAACAACAGTCTTCATTGTATCAGTTGTAGAGTGTACAACAGTCTTCATTGTATCAGTTGTAGAGTGTACAACAGTCTTCATTGTATCAGTTGTAGAGTGTACAACAGTCTTCATTGTATCAGTTGTAGTGTGTACAACAGTCTTCATTGCGACAGTTGTAGAGTGTACAACAGTCTTCATTGTATCAGTTGTAGAGTGTACAACAGTCTTCATTGTATCAGTTGTAGAGTGTACAACAGTCTTCATTGTATCAGTTGTAGAGTGTACAACAGTCTACATTGTATCAGTTGTAGAGTGAACAACAGTCTTCATTGTATCAGTTGTAGAGTGTACAACAGTCTTCATTGTATCAGTTGAAGAGTGTACAACAGTCTTCATTGTATCAGTTGTAGAGTGTACAACAGTCTTCATTGTATCAGTTGTAGAGTGAACAACAGTCTTCATTGTATCAGTTGTAGAGTGTACAACAGTCTTCATTGTATCAGTTGTAGAGTGTACAACAGTCTTCATTGTATCAGTTGTAGAGTGAACAACAGTCTTCATTGCGTCAGTTGTAGAGTGTACAACAGTCTTCATTGTATCAGTTGTAGAGTGTACAACAGTCTTCATTGTATCAGTTGTAGAGTGAACAACAGTCTTCATTGTATCAGTTGTAGAGTGAACAACAGTCTTCATTGCGTCAGTTGTAAAGTGAACAACAGTCTTCATTACGTCAGTTGAAGAGTGAACAACAGTCTTCATTGTGTTCAGTTTTAGAATCTATTGAGGGTACAACAGTCCTCGTTATGTTAGTTGTAGAATCTATTGTAGGTACAACAGTTTTCGTTGTGCTCAGTTGTAGAGTGTACAAATGTCTTCGTTTTATCAGTTGTAGAATCAATTGAGACAACAGACTTCATTTTGTTTAAGTTGTAGAGTGAACAACAGTCTTCATTGTGTTAAATTGTGTCAGTTGTAGAATCTATTGATGATACAACAGTTTTCATTCTGTTCAGTTGTAGAGTGTACAACAGTCTTCATTGTGTTCAGTTGTAGAATCTATTGTAGGTACATCAGTCTTCGTCGTGTTCAGTTGTAGAGTGAACAACAGTTTTCACTGTATTCAGTTGTAGAATCTACTTCAGGTACAATAGTCTTCGTTGTGCTAAGTTGTAGATTCTACAACAGTCTTCGTTGTATCAGTTGTAAAATCTATTGAGGGTACAACAGTTTAAATTGTGTTCAGTTGTAGAATGTACAAAAGTCTTCGCTGTGCTCAGTTGAAGAGTGTACAACAGTTTTCGTTGTGTTCAGTTGTAGAATCTATTGAGGGTACAACAGTCTTCATTGTGCTCAGTTGTAGAGTAAACAAAAGTCTTCATTGAGTTCAGTTGTAGAGTGTACAACAGTTTTCGTTGTGCTCAGTTGTAGAATCTATTGAGGGTACAACAGTCTTCATTGTGTTCAGTTGTAGAGTAAACAAAAGTCTTCATTGTGTTCAGTTGTAGAGTGTACAACAGTCTTAATTCGTTGTGCCCGGTTGTCTTTAGAGGTTAGTTAAACGGGTGTATCATCAATGACCTTTCTGGAGCCAAATAATTTATAATACAATTGATTATGAAAATACTATTTCTTTTCTCCAGAAAGCTTTCTCTTTTAATTTGTAAAGAGAAAACCATCAAATTCTGATTTTTTTCTGTGAGTACTAAAAGACCTCTCTTCTCTTAGAATTACAGATAGATATGCACCTTATTTGTGAGAAATCGAACTTGTTTTGTTGATAATTGAACTTCATGGCCTTTTTCCTCTTTCCTTAGTTTATTGGAATCTTTTCAGTATTTTCTGTAATACCTTAAATCAAGGAAAAACATAGCATAATTGTCTACAATCTTAGGCCTCTTATGTTATAATCGTGACAAAATCGGTATACGGTCAGAAGATAACGAATCCTTGGATAACAAATCCTTGAAAAGCACGTGACTTGTTGAAATATAAGTAAATCTCCCTTCTAATCGTAATTTCTCTGTTCGGACTAAATAGAGTGAACAACATGTGGCTATTGATATTGGCTTCCGCTCTTGCTTTTGCCTCGGGTATGTAAACATTGCAAGAGTTCATATGTTACTACAGTTATCACCTATGTCAGCAATCGTCTCAATTAATTGCTGAAACTGAAGGATATGAAAGGAATATTGTAAAAAGTATAAGTTGAGGCTAGAAGAATAATTCTGTTGGAAGTATGGTAACTGGTAACTATTTAGACTTGCTACAGAAACATCCAATTACTTAATTTAAGAATTTGATTTTAATTTTAAAAAGTTCACTTAGTGAAAATATTTAAAAATTCAAGTTCTGCTTCTCGGATTCTCTTGGTCTCAATATGGTGTGAGGAGTTCTTTTTAAAGTTTGTTTTTAAACTTAGGATGAAGCAGCACTATGCCTTAGTAATTCATTGAACAATTTTGTAGAGACTTGACTCTTAGAACCCATGCTATAATGCTTTAATACGTGTTTTTTCTAAGGCACTTGATCATGTCACCAATGATCGTTCAAGGGTCCGTATTTTTGCCCCGTAAACAGTTTGTATTGTTTAAAGGACTTATGAAGTCGAGTACTGTTCGTTTTCTTCACCTTTTTTCATTTTCAAGAATTATATTTGTAACGTTTTAAATCATGAAATATATGGAGATAACGAACAGTATTCAAGCTTAAATGTCCATTAAACAATGCAAATCAGGAGCAGAGCAAACACGGACCTCTAAAATGTTAGAGGTGGGATCAGGTGCCATGGAGGAGTGAACATCCCCTGCCGATCATCTCGATTGCAAAGAAGTCCCATTAAAACAAAACTTTCAGTCAAAAGTCATATAGCATTTCCAAAAAGTAACATCTAGCTTTGGAATTTATGCCTGTGCAACTGATATTTAGTCATGGATACCCTAAAAAATACTACAGTAAACTATAGTTTACAATAGTTAACTATAGTTTACTATATATAGTATTAAAGTTTTCACTAATCAAAGTATTTACTGTAGTAAATCAGTATATTTTTACTCTGAATTTAGACTGCTATTTTTAATAATCTCTAAACATAAAATAAGATTTTTTTTATACTAAATGGAAATATTACTTGTATATTCAGATGTAATTTCAAAAGTTTACATTATGTGAAATGAATTTTGAAAATATAATCTCCTAAACTCTCGAGAAAATGTCTTGAGTAAAATTCCATAGTAAAACAAAGTATCGAACAATTTACTATAGTAATCTATAGTTTACTATGGTAAACTATAGTTAAGTAATAGTAAATTTTTGTTAAAGTAGTTACCTTGTTGTAATACACAAGGACAAACTACAGCGATTCCCCTCCCTCCAGTATACCTTCTATGTTTCCGAAAAAAATAATAAAGATTCCAGTCTTATTTCAGGTAAACCACATTCCAAACTGAACGTGAAAAACACGCCATGTGGAACACCGAGTGGTTCGCCTAACGGTCTGACACAGTATATTGTTGGTGGTGTGGAAGCCAACGTAGACGCGTGGCCGTGGCAGGTAAAGCAAAATAGGCAAATTGGAAAAAAGTATAATTTTAAGACAGATTTGAAACCAAGAGCTTATACATGTAACTGCTGAAGAAGAAAAAAAATTCTTGATACTATGCCGGGTCTATTTTATCTGTATGTGGAAAAAGGTTGATAAAATATTAATTCATTATAATGCCCGTTCTATAGACCTGTTGTTGTTCTTTCTATATTCTGTAGACGATACAGTTTAAAAAAAAAGTCATGTCGCTTCTGTTTTATCATTCAACACCGAATATTTAAGAAAATGGGTTTGTTCATGAAAGTGCAATTAACAGTGCAAAAGACTATATGGTTTGTCCCTATGAGAAGCTTATTTTCCTATTAGGAGCACTTTCTTGATAAAGATTTGATATCTATTGAATTTTCCTCTAATAGCAGATATATTGTACTGCAAAGCACAGGGTGTTTCACAATATATGTTACATTTTGAATCTTCAATTTCACAAACACAAGAAAAAGACATAGACAAGTGTTTTTATCAACTTGATGCATGTATCTATAAGATTCATTATGTACAATTACCAACTAAAATATTACACATTGGACGAAATCTCAAACATTAATGAAAATAAGTGAAATTTCTAAATTACGTCATTTTTGTAACGTTGAATTTCACAACATCAAAAGCCCACATTACATGTTCTTAATGATCTCCACTATCTCAACTACAAATGAGAGTTGTTTCTCGAAATTTGTATAACCTTGTCACACATTTTTTTTTTTGCTTAGACACTCTTAAGTTGAATGTTTATGGTTCTTCTGAGCTCATTCACTATCTGTGGTCTAGGATTGTAGACCCTATTCCTAAAGAACCCCTACAGAAAAAGGCCAAAAGATTGAGATTGGCGAATGCAGAGATCAAACTCTTTTCTTGGGGTATTGCATTATTGAAAATTTGTACGCTGATAACTTCATATCATATTTCAAAGTTCAATATATGCTGGAAATGCTGATATTGCCAGCATCAATTTCTGAAAACATCTATCTGACACTTTTTTCAGGAGTTTGTTAAACTATCTAAGAGTCTACACTTCACCAATTAAATCTTCGATTATTGAAGTCCTTAGGCTTTCTGGAGTACCGTGTCATTTATCGCATATTGCCCGTCCCTGTCCTTTAACCTTGTTATTAGCCTTATGATAAGCATTTTAAAAAGCTTCCATTCTTTTTTTTTGATATTTCCTTCATCAACTTCTGAATGAATATTGGCGACATGGATTGAAAAAAAACAGCTTTACAATTTAGCAATATGTTGGTAAGTTAAGCCCATTTCGAAAAATATTGAAATTTTGACATCGGTGTTTATGCCACAATTAATCATTGTGATACCATGATTTCCTTGACTTTTTCATATGGAATGAAAATGCAGGATTTGATGTTTAAAATGATATATAGTTTGTAATAAAATTATGATAGGTAAGAAAAATAATTAGATTAAAAATGTAATATACGAGGGGTTATCAAAAAGTTCGTGGACTGATGCGATAAAATTAATACTATGTAGTCTGTGCTTATAACATTTATGAAAAACATAAATCAACAAAAGTTTAAGAAATGTTGAAAATTTTAACTTGATACGTTGATAATTTGCCAAATTATTCTAAAATGAAAAAGACTTTATATGATCACTCGGTGCTGTCGCCGTTTAGTTTCATGACGTCCGACAACGTCATTGTTTCTCAATGTCCACTCCGTCTACCTTATACACTTATCTTGATGTGATTACCTGGAGTTAAGTAAGGACTTGAGTCCGTCTTGTTTATGTGACTTTACAATGTCATGAACAGCTGCTTTCAATGCATATAATATTGTAAATGTATCTATACATAAGGAAAGATCCTCACTTGATTATACCAGAATACTTAGCTTGATGGAGTTCAATTTCTACCACTCATGATCAACGTCACTTTTCGACGTGACTGATTTTTGACACCCTCACTACAAATTGAATTTAACTGTGCATCTTTAATCTCTCTGAATCTTTTTGGCTATTTAAAACGAGTATTCTGGATGTGTTTTATTTTTCTGTAACCCGTTTAAACATTCCCTAGGTCTCTACCAGTTTTTCCAGGTGCGAAACTTTAAAGAATTTTGGAAACAGAAACCCCTCCCCCCTTTTTGACGTCATTTTTGAGCCCTTAATTGTTTGTACACTCCATATAAATTTACGATAAAATTTCATAGAATTTACAGAATGGGGTAAAAATTACAAATTTTACGGAACAATTGTGTTGTACCACATGCCTGGATTAACCGGATTTTTTGACGACAAATGCTCATATCAAGAGAGTTTTTCTCAGTTACACTCAGGTAGAAAAAACGTCATATTTGAGGTTGCGCCTCTTGGACATACCAGTGCTTACAAAAACAATAACAATTTATAAAAAAATAAAACTTATGATTTATGGTTTATTCTATCGATAGAAAAGATGATGCTAACTAAATGTATTAAAATTCATTGATGTACCTAAAGCGGTTTTAATTTTATGGCGCTAGTCCACGAACTTTTTGATAACCCCTCGTATATACTATGAAACGCCCTGTATATACATTGTACTTAGTGAAAAGTTGCAATAAAATTTTCCTTCAGTGAATACAGTTTTAGTCACGTAAATATTCTTAGGATAATTGAATGAGATGAAATGTGATTAAAATTTCAAAAAAAGAAAAGAAATTCTAAAATTACAACTTAGAAAACTTAGAGGAGCTTATTCTTTTTAAGTTTCCCTGTTCATGTAAGGTTTTTATCTATATTTATAGATTAGTTTGGAGTACAATGGTCGCCACATATGCGGTGGAACCCTTGTCAGGAACGACGCCGGAGATTTGGTTGTCGTCACTGCTGCCCATTGTGTTGACGGGTAAAAATGTAGTTCCAAACTATAAAACATTTCGAATTTTATTAAGATCTGCAAATAAGTCAATCGGGAGAAATCTGGTATTAGCTGGTGAAACCTTTTCTAATAGAGAACATGGTAGGTTATGGAGATCGACGATATATTTACATGTATTGCAGAGAGAGAGAGAGAGAGAGAGAGAGAGAGAGAGAGAGAGATTCTGGGGTTGGTAGTATATATTGTACTACAAAAGTTAAATTTTGATGTAGATATGTCAAAACTTCAATTATCAGTAAAAGGTCCATTCTGGTCAGAACAAGAATTGAATACAGAAGGTTACTGTATATTGCTATTCTAAACACGGCATTATTTTTGGCATTCGAATAAGACGTTTACATCTAGGTACCTTATAGGCAATGGTATGAAATTAAATGCCTATTAATATGAAATGAATTTTTAGGAGTTGTTCTTGGACAATTTTATGTTTTGTAGATCTCTAGGAAATCCAAGTAACCTTAGAATAAAAGTAGGAGAGATGAGGTTGAGCCAAAATCTCGGACAACGTATGTCTGTCCGAGAAGTCAGAAAACACAGGAGTTATAACTCTGCAACAATTAACAATGACATCGCCATATTAACATTTAACACTCAGCCAACTGAAAGCAGTTCAGTTATGCCAGCTTGTTTGCCATCGAGAGATCATGGAGTCAACGAATTGGCTTACGTTACTGGCTGGGGCACTACTTCTGAAGGTAAGAATATTACGAAGAGATGCCAACTTGTTTTCACCGTTAAAAACCATCATAGCAACACACTTTTTTCCTCGAGAATAACATAGTGAAAAGGTGAGAATATGATTTTTCGAAGATGCTCCTGGTGTGTCGAATAAAGCGGTTCAAATTAAAACTAAGATTAAGATTAAAGAAATCTTTAAAAATAGTTTTTATGCAATATCCATTAATAATTAATCGAATAAAACATGGTTTCATATCTCATCTGCAAACTTAATAGCACATCAAATATAAATGTTTTGCATAATCTATGTCAAATTTCCCTTTGTTAATTAGTTAGAGATTTTTGTGATATATGATTTATTAGTTAAAGTTTGAATCTTTAAAAAAGGCGTTTAATAAAAATATTTTTTCTTTGAAATTAATAATTTTTTTCGAAATACTTAGAATGCCACAACTTTTTTGAATTAATGAAGAAAAAACGATAAAAAAAGGTAAAAATATTTAGGTATTAACTATAATTCTTATGGTCATAGGTTTTGAAAGAATAAACATTGTAATAATATTGTATATAAGCTAAGAGGACAGCTATAACACAAGGTTGGTGGAATACATGTCCCCTTGTTTATTTATTTTGTCTTATTAAGAAGATTTTTGTTAATTTACATAGTGTTGACATATTGCTTTTCATGGAATTATTCTGAGAGATATATGCAATTAAGGACTTTGCGAATATTAACCATCATATTATAGAACTAAAATGAATAATAAGTCCAAAATTTCGTAATTCGAGTAAAATTTTACAGAAACTTTAACAATGAAAAATCTTTTTATGCAAGCAGATCATTTCTGATCTTTTATCATATACACCCTAAGATAAGAGATGTTTATGATAAAAAGTGTTTAAAAGGGTGCAATTTTGAAAATGAAATAGTATGAAGTTATTGATTCAGTCTTTTTCAATGTCCTCAGAAGAGTTGTATTAAATTTTATATACTCGTTGTCTTATTTATTTTTGCTCTCTCTCTCTCTCTCTCTATATATATATATATATATATCTTAAGAGATAATTACTTTTTAGGTGGTTCCACGACAGACAGACTGATGGAAGTATCCAAGCCTATTCTGTCTGACTCCGCCTGCGCGTCTTTCCTCGGCAGTTCTTACAAGAGTGCAACTATGTTGTGCGCAGGTTATGAGGCTGGTGGCGCTGATGCATGCCAGGTACTTGATTCAGATAACAATGTTCTATCTTAAGAAAAAAAACCCTTAATTCTGTCAAATCTAAGTCAAACTAGCATCACCTTTAATCAATATCTTAAAGGGGAAAACAGTTTTAAATTAAACGAAAAAATACATAAAATATAAAATGACATAAATGTATATGCAGGAGTATATTTCCAGTAGACCTCTATTTCATCTGCTTTCTCAGCAAATGAGAGATTTTAAATAAGCAGTACATTAAAATCAAGCTATTTAGATATGTTCAAATAAGCAGAACTTAAGTGTGGGAAATAGGGATTTTCCAGGATTGGGATCAAAGTTGATGTGGTCTAAATCAACTTTTGTCATTTTAACCCTTTCTCTGAAGACGAATAACGGAAATGATTTCTTTAAAGTATTTTTCCTTATGAGATTGTTTCGCTTTGTCAAGAACATCGACACAGTAGAGGCAATTTGGTGACAGAACTACAGAAAAACAAAGTATGATCGTGTAAAAGCTTATGAAAAATCATAAAAACAGAAAAAAACAATTTTTTTTTTGTACAGTGTTAATTTGAATTTGTTCATATCGCGGATGATGTGATAGGATAAGGACACAACATGATCAAAATTTTAAAAGGAGATTATGAGAACAGTCTTTCATTTTTGCTGAAATAATGTAAACGTAAAATTTTCATAACTAATAGGCGTAAAGTTATTCTATAAATCACATCTAACTGCAACTCTGTTTTGTATTCATTTCATTCACATTTTATTTAGGGAGACTCCGGTGGACCTTTTGTTGCTCAAAGAAATGGTGCCTGGGAACTGGCTGGTAAGTTTCATTTCTGATTCGGTGAATATATATTAAAATGAATACACAGCTTACAGCATACGGAAAAAAATGAATTGTATAGTTGAATCCACACTTTTCAAAAGTTATGTCCCTTGGCCACCATCTTTAGGGGAAAACCCATAGAATCCTTACAGTAGCCTTTGTAGTTTTGTGTTTTTTTAATTTTGTCTTTTGACTTTAAAAATCTTTGCATCTTGTATATTGATTGCTCCAGGATGTGGCATAAATGTCCAAGAACGAAGTCTACGTCGATATCGACAATATGTCGATATCGTATCGACGTGGATATCGATCCTGATCAGTACTATGAACTTGGAAATACTGAATACCACATATAAGACTAGGTGCTATGTCGATGTCATCGATATCGACAATACCTTGCCGATATCGTATCGATATCGATCTTGTATTGTACAATTTAATTTAATTTAATTTAAAGTTGACTTATAACATAATTTTACAAGGTCACAAACGATGTCGATATTGATTCATGAGTGGCATGAATATGTAAATAAATAACAAAACGATGACAAATAAAGGGTTAGGGGTTGTTGTTGTCAGGGATTAGGGTTGGAGTAAGGTTTTGGGTTAGGGTGAAAGTTAGTAAAAACAGTATGTTTTTAGCAATCATGATTCGATATCGATACGATATCGACAGTAGGGCAAACTAAATAATCAAAAAGTACATAGGCAATACACAGCCACAAGAGTGATGATGAAAATAATACGATATCGATACGATATCGTCGATATCGATGGCAAGTACAATCTTTGTTAATATCGATACGATATCGTGAATATTGACAGTCAGGAAAACTTCGTAAAACAGAAAGTATTCTAATATACACACAATTATAAAGAAATATTGCAGCTAACTATAAAAAAATAATCCATCGATAACTACATCGTGTAGTTGACTCGGATATTGCTAACCATATGTTGAAAGAAAAAAAATCAAACACAGTGGATTTATATGAGCATGCCCAATTATTTAGTTGCATAAAAAGGAGAAATGTGTTTCTGTCCCTTTTGACCTTTTGGTTGACCCCACAAAGGGACACAACATTTGCAAAATGTGGATTAAACTATTAGATACTATGAATTCTGAATGTGTTTATATGTTTTAGGCGTGGTCAGCTGGGGATATGGGTGCGCTAGACCAGAACTTCCAGGAGTATATGCTGATGTGTGGAATTTTGTAAACTGGATTAAAGCCAACTGGAGCACGTGAACATATATGAAATATTCCAGTAATGAATAAATGTGATATATATACCTTGATTGCTATTATGTTTTAAATGTTCATGTGGGTTTATTAAATCTTAACCTTATCAAATGTGAATATTAGAATTCATATGTATTGTGACATATGATTGTGACATATGACTATATATATATATTCTCTGTTTAGAATTGGTTTAGAATTGTTTTCTTAAAATACTTTCTACAAATCTCTGCAGTAAATATTGTACCAGAAAATGTTTGTAGTGAAATATACTTAAGTTGGTTTTGAACTTATTAAAAAATGGAATTATAAAAATATTTTGAAAAAAAACTCCGAAAATCAATTGGTCAGTTGGATAGCAATTTTTGTCTATACAATATATGATTTACATATATTCAAGGCTATTAGCCAGTAAAATCAGTTCCTTTTATTTGAACGTTCAAATCCTCTAAATCAGGTACATGTATCTCGACTCTTAGAGTCATTATATAATGTAAAGAAAATATTCTTACTTTAACAAGAATTTAAGGATATCCGATCCTCAGCCAGGAAGGATAACTCTTAAATTTGTTATTCTATTTAAAAAGTCTCAAAATGAAATTTGAAATTGAGATCTTTTCGTGCAACAATTTTCATTTTATGCATCTTAATATGATTCAAGGTTCTTTGAAGTCTTAGAAATGGTCTTGTAAAAAGTTGACATTTGTACCCCATAAAAGAAAAAAAATGAATTCATTATTAGAGAAATCGAATTTCCTTTAGTCTAGCATTAGATACTATTGCTTATTAGCGTGATATGAAATTAGTTGTGATATGTGATGTATAACAATGATAGCACAAGCTTTTTACATTATGTATTATATGACAATTGAAGTAAAAAAAGAAGAACTAAAATACTGTACAAGCATAAAAAAGATGCAATTTCCTCAAAATGCCTGGATACCTATATTTTTCTATCCTTAATTATATTTGTTGATCAATTTTCAATTAGGAAATGCATAGCTGGTGTTTTTATTCGCATTTCCTGAAAATATATTTGAGATTTGATAATTTTTCCTATATAATATGATTAATTATAATGATGAACTTTGAAGAAATTCCATGGGTAAATTCACTTTACTATGTGAAATCAGGGACATTTTTGTGAGCATTTTCAATTACTTAGAAGCTGATTTTCAGAACCTGAGGATCGGACTACCTTAAACTTTTTTGCCTGCTCATAACGTAGCATCAGAATATGTTAACTTATCCTCATACTATTATAATTATAGAAGACAGTAATATGTATTTGCCAGATTTAAATTGAACAACACAAACGTTGTTTAAAGTAAATGTCTGCACTTTATTTACTACAAACAAAAAATTATTAACACATAAAACAATTTTACGTCCATGTTTTTTTTTTGCCTCGAATGGACTCTCCCATATGCACAAATAATTGATACTAGTACAGTCAGGTATCAAGTTATGGTGCGTTTGTCTCTCAAAATATTATGTACGCAAGAGCACGTTCTGTGTACGTGTTAAACTAAGGGAGGCTACTGACAAATGAGTAAATGTTACAGGGATTTAAACAGTCTCCTGTAAAAGTCAGCATTTTGCAAATCTATGGTCATTACAATAACATTGTTTGCAAAATACATGTACAGCCTATCGTTTGTCTGGATTTTGACTGACATATTTCATATCAATAGGCAAGCCATTGTTTTCACACTAGTTATACGGATTACTCCGTTAACCTGATCAGTGCAGAGGGTTCACGACATGTGCAACTGATCGACGGGATACTTCCTCACCTAATAACCTGATCCAAATCTAGTGTTTTCAGGGGTCCGTGTTTTTGCCCTCTCTTGATTTTTATTGTTTACAAACAGAAATTGATCACTATCTTCAACTTTATATATTACAAAATCGGACTTGAACAGAACTGTTTGTTTACATCAAACATTTTATTTTGACTAATTAGGAATTGGGAATCGTTTTCAGTACGCGTTTTTTTTGAATTAATGAACATACTTTGAAGTGATTAAATAAAAGACATACTTTAAATTGATTAAATAGAAATATTATTACAATCAATTGTAATCAAAGTAAAGATTCGAAATGATAAAATTTTTTTTTTAAAAATGTAAGATTTTTGAAACAATGACCTACTTAAGATATTTTCTGTTTAGTGTTTTCCTGGTTTGCACAGATAGATACTAGGCCTACTTCAGTTAGTGTGTTTGGTCAAGTTTTTCTTTGAAATTATAATGTTAATCTGGGTGGCGATTAATTGTTGGATTGAAGTGAAATCTGGGCGGTGTTGCTGAAATCTTTTGTCCTGCTGTCAATATGAAGCATGTCATATGAATTGGTCGTTTACGACTTTTTGGACCATTTTCTTCATCAATTCGTACCGTTTCGGTGGAGCAAAGTTTTTAGATTGTTCGTATTTGTTTTCTAACTGAGAGACAGTGTCTGATACTAGAGAGCACCGCCCCTTCAATCCGTTCACCTGGTGACGTAATTGTTCAACTTCCGATCCTATCTGTTCTAATGACATGTCTGAAATAATGAAAAATGTGTTCAAGAAAATGACATGAAATATTTCCGCAGACCTTAATGTTTTATCTTCTATAAGTATGTAAAAATAATTGATTAAATAAGTGCGTGTGATAAAAAATTTACTATGTGATGATAACTTGATTCTATGAAATCAAACAAAACCAACCATCTAAGTCTGCCTTTCTCCTAGTTAGTTCTAAAGTATAGGATAATTCTTTATAACCATTGGCAAGGCTTCGAATTCCAGTCATCGATATAGATCCAGGTACTTTATCTTCATTTAGTTTAAAATGGAGAATTGTTCTTTTTATCATGCCTTTAAGTAAACCATACCGCCTTAAGGGGTCAAAATCTTTAGATCTTTCATAATCCTGTTGTAGAGTGTACACAACTTGTCTGACATGCTTGTATTCACGCTGAAGTGAGTTCAGTTCCATACACAGTTGTTCGTGAGTTTTTCTGATGTTCTCTTTGTCTTGTCCTCTCTCCTGATTAAGGCTTTTTCCTACAATATATAATAATGATTATGCAATTAAAATAAAAATATGTAGTTTAACCAAAGTTTGTTCTTTGTCAGTCTGTAATCCGTAGTCTATTGTCTATAAACGCTTCATATTCCATTTTCTTCTCCTGAACCTGCAGCCAATTTTAGCCAAACTCTGCACAAAGTAAATCTGAATACAGGGACTACTTGTGTATCACTTTGACTAATTACAATTACAGAATTTCTTTTTGTAGGATATGATTGAAGTATATTTAGAAAACATCCCTACTCTGTCCTCATCTAAGCTTAGAAATCCCAATTACCATTGTTTTAAAGAGATCATGCCTAGAACTAGGATGGTCCAACAAAAGGGTTTCAAATTTCATAGAAGATTATGTGGGAAAGTTTGGAAGAAAATACAGCAAGGCTGTGATTGCATTCAATTTATAATCAAGGCACACGGTGTTTTAGATACATCATACTAAGTTTTGTTATGATAGGCTGAAATCACTTTATGGAATGTTTGAAAGGGCATCTACAAAATCAAGACTTTTTTTTAGTCAAATCAATGTGAAAAATCCCCAAATATCCCCATTATACAAATATAATGTCTTAGAGATACACAGTCTAAGCTTTAATGTGTAAATGTTTCCCTAAACAGGTAAGTTTTAAGGTCAGACGACACGTCCATCAATGATAGATAATTTTCCTAGGATTTTTTATTTGAAGAATTGCTGCTTGAACAAGATTTATTTTCCCACAAAAATTTAATATTCCCAACAATCAAAATGAATTTGAATTACCATACCTATACTGGATTCCAAAACTCCGTAAAAATCCTTACAAACAAAGACACATAGCGGGTTCGAGTATATATTCTACCAAGCCTCTATCTTCACTCCTTTGAATCACGAAAATTTAAGAAAATCAATAACATCAAAACGTACGACTTTTCAACAATTTATACAACCATTCCCTTCCATTAATTAAAGTTCAGGCATCATAGACAACTGCTTTTCAATATAAAAACTCATAACTATCCATACCTTCTCATTGGTCATTTGCAAAATTATTTTGTTAAAAAGCATTCTGATCATGCATTTGTATTCATATGAAGCAGAATTTATTCAAAATCTTATATATGAGAAAAAGAAATCTCTTGCTGTGACCTTCAACTCGAAATTTAAATATATCGACGACGTATTATCAATTAACAATAGTCATTTTCATTCATATGTCGACTAGATATATATCCCAGTTAGCTTGAAATAAAAAATACCACAGAGTCTGACACATCTGTTTCATATCTGGATATTTTAAGACGTAAATGGTAATCTAACAACAAAACTTTACGATAAACGTGATGACTAACATTTCAATCGTCAACTTCCCTTACTTATGCAGCAATATACCATAATCACCTACATATGGGGTATATCTCTCTCAGTTGATTCGATACGCAAGAGCATGCTCTACGTATGAACAATTTCTAAAACGAGGTCAGTTATAGACAAACAAATTGATGAAACAAGAATATCAACAGTCTCGTTTAAAGTCATCATTTTCTAAGTTCTATGGTCGATATAATGACCTTGTTAGCAAATACAATCTATCATTTAGTCAAATATTGATTGACGTTTTTCATACTAATTGTTTGGCCATTATTTACACATTGAATTGTCGACAGATTTTTCCGTTTTTCCCGATTATGACGAGGAGCGGGTGTGACCTGTCGGCAGGGGTGCTTACTCCTCCATGGGACCTAATCCCACATCTGATGTTTTAGAGGTCCGTGTTTGCTCTGCTTCTAATTTGTATTGGTTGAATGGACTTTTGAGCTGAAATACTGTTCGTTATCTCTATATTTCATTAGTAAAGTAATCAATCTTGTAATTTTTGAATTCATCCTACAACAGTACATGTATTGTGTCTTAATTTTATTTGCCTTACAAACAAAAAGAATGGAAAGGGGGAAAGTTGGCGAGAAAAAATGCAGCACCTTTTAGAAAAAAAAAATTCTTGCTTTTTTCTAAATTTTTGTGGACCCAAATACTACTATTTGAACAAATCAGGGTTCTCCATGGACCGTTTAACGTGGCGGCCCCGCCACACTTAAATTCTTTAGCGCCACAGTTAAAACATTTGTGTTATAGTTCCGCAAATCATAATCTAGGTAGCACACCGCTGATTGCATGATAATTCACTAAATTGTGGCTTTCTTATTCTTTGCATTTTTAAAAATAAAATACACAGTTTAACACAACTTGAGTAGTGATTCCTGAACGATCTTGAATTTACAAGAGAATATTTCAATGAACTTACAATTGTTATTAGAAAGAATTTTTTAAAAGATTCTTTTTCTCCCTAATGTATGCCTATGATTCGAAGCGTTGTATTTCATAAGAGGAAGATTTCTTTTTACCAAAAATCTTACATTTGTCTGTTGAAATTTGACTCCTAATGGGCCCTTGTGGTTAAATATGATTGAGACAAATTTTGTCTTGGAGATATTTATACTTGTCCTTTGAATAATTAGTTCGTAATACATTTTACATAATATTTGTATAATATTTCCAAGTATTGGGAATATAACTAAGAGATATTGCAACACAATATAACTTATCATTATCTCTTCAATCCTGCCAAGAGTAAAAGGAAAAAAAACAGCCAATTCTTTCGAAATGTGCTATAATTTATAATTTCATTGCACTGTTGCGATGAGTGTCGAGGTCAATTCAATGTCCTTTGGGTTGTAACTGTTAATAACAGTCATTTTTTCATCATTATAGAGAAATATGTTATCATTCATTGCACTGTTGCGATGAGCATCAAGGTCAATTCAACGTCTTTTGGGTCGTAGCAGTTAATCTGGCATGTATTTTAAAGAGTAATTTAGCTTTTTATTAAGAGATCTGGGATTGCATTTTTCTACTTTGGGATACCATGTGAAATACTGTTTAAATGTCATAACCTGAAATATGTACTAGATAAGGTACTCTTTTAGATCCATGTCTGATATGGAGCCATTTTCTTACCCCAAAAGCGTAAGCCCTTCACGGCAAATCAAATATCAGGTTCATCTTAGGTATAATTTGTGTGTTCTATTCGCTATCGGCAATTCACAAGGGTTATCAGCATAAAAGTGTAATGGAACTCAAACATGTTAGGCAACTTTGCAAAGATAACGCGTCCAACTATACCCGATAGGAGAAATTGAATATGGATCGGTAAACATAAGAACTTACAAACACATAAGGGGGAATGGTTGTGATCTAGTGAGGTTGCTTTAGTATGTGATTTCTGTGATTTCTACATCCCAGCATTAATAACCAATCTTTGCAAATTGCATATTCAAATCTGGTAAAAAGGTAATTGAGAATACAAATGATAATTCCTAACACAAATGTAAGGGTATGTTGTAGATGTTTAGATACTTTGTTAAAAACAGCATTGATTTGGTAATCTTAATATTACCTTTTCACAGAGATTGACAAAAATGCTCATTTTCCACCTGATCTCCAGAGGCCCTGTTGTTTGTAGATTTTATGAGATCGATCGCTGTTCATTATCTTCATCTTTGTCATTTATTTACTTACATTGTATTACTGATTACTTACATTGTATTACTGATAACTTCCATTGTATTACTGATTACTTACATTGTATTACTGATTACTTACATTATAGTACTGATTACTTACATTATAGTACTGATTACTTACATTGTATTACTGATTACTTACATTGTATTACTGATTACTTACATTGTATTACAGATTACTTACATTGTATTACTGATTACTTACATTGTATTACTGATTACTTACATTGTATTACTGATTACTTACATTATAGTACTGATTACTTACATTATAGTACTGATTACTTACATTGTATTACTGATTACCTACATTGTGTTACTGATTACTTACATTGTATTACTGATTACTTACATTGTATTACTGATTACTTACATTGTATTACTGATTACTTACATTGTATTACTGATAACTTACATTGTATTACTGATTACTTACATTGTATTACTGATAACTTACATTGTATTACTGATTACTTACATTGCATTACTGATTACTTACATTGTATTACTGATTACTTACATTGTATTACTGATTACTTACATTGTATTACTGATTACTTACATTAAAGTACTGATTACTTACATTATAGTACTGATTACTTACATTATAGTACTGATTACTTACATTATAGAACGGCTAACTTACATTATAGTACTGATTACTTACATTATAGTACTGATTACTTACATTATAGTACTGATTACTTACATTGTATTACTGATTACTTACATTATATTACTGATTACTTACATTATAGTACTGATTACTTCTATTATATTACTGATTACTTACATTGTATTACTGATTACTTACATTGTATTACTGATTACTTACATTATAGTACTGATTACTTACATTGTATTACTGATTACTTACATTATATTACTGATTACTTACATTATATTACTGATTACTTACATTGTATTACTGATTACTTACATTGTATTACTGATTACTTACATTATAGTACTGATTACTTACATTGTATTACTGCTTTCTCTCTCCTTAACATTTTATTTTTAACTAACAGGTAAAAGTCCTAATGGGTTGGGGTCAGTTACATTGAAATATAATTAAATACTTTCAAATACATTGGAAATTTTGTCAAATACTTGAAATTACAATTACATTGATTTTTACAAATGTAATTAATTACTCTCAATTACTTTGAAGAATGTAATTAAATACATTTCAATTACTTTTGTTTCACTTTCAAAAATCTCGAAGAACAAATACGTGTAATTTAAAGGTAGGGAGAGTATTTAAAATAAATAATGTCAGATGCCTGTCATGTTTGTGTGTTTCATCAACATAAGACCTAGTCCTACATGTACATTTATCAATTAATTGACTGCCTTTACGAAATTTGATTAAAAGTGAGTTTTAAGAGTTTATGAATCAACCATAGAATACTCTCAA